TCCTCTTTCGTTGGTGGTGCCTTGACAAGGTATTGAATCAGCTGGCAGGAGGGTTAGTAAATTTTAAGGCTTGGACATGAGTTGAACCATCATTATGAAAACTCCTTAATTGTATAACTGAAAAAATAATAGTATGTAAGGTCTCATCATGGTTGAGTGCACTGGTCATCTGTGAATAGTGAGAAGATAAAGAGTGGTTTGGCTGCAGGGTGTAAGAGAGAAGAGGAGTGAATAATGCAATTTTATTTTTTCTCAAGTTTCCTGTTTGGAAAGGAAAGGAAGTGAGAAGGAAGATTTTGGGACCTCACTAGTCCTTTCCATGTACAAGTGAGAGAAAAAGTTCGTAACCTTTTCTTCAACTCTTCTTACTTAAATTTGTTGCAATTGAAGGTTGGGGAAACAGCAGTTTTCTCTTTAAATCGTCTACGTGTTTATGATGTAAGATTGCAATAATGTAATGGACGTTGTGACCACTTCTGTAGTTTGTTTCCCTATCCACCACACTAAAACTGGAGAAATTTGTTGTTACAGTTAGTACGAACGAAGAATTAATTTTGAAATGATAAGTACTTTATAAGGTCCCATTATCTATAGGAAAGAAGTTCTGGGCCACCAATTGAGCTTATTATTGATAATCAGAATGCTCTTTGCATTATTGAACATGCTACTTGTGCCGACGCTGATGACTGTCCTATCAAGTGGTTCATGCTTAACTAGTTCCATCGTGATTGCCTGAAGGCCAATCAAATATGTTACAAATTGTTGACATGCACAAATCTTTCACAGGCTGCTACAAGTGTTGTTATTTTTTTACTTTGCTTATATTAACTAACCTGATTATCTCAGGTATTTGGATCGTAATCTACACTACCGACAAGTGGAATGGTGATTGACCACGAATAAGACAATTGAATTACATAAATCCTATTTATTCCTTCTGCACTGATTGCTCACATCACATGCTCTACATTCCTTGCATCTTGGTGGTAGTAACTTATGGGGATATCGACCTTTCTAACTGTTGAAACTCAGGATGGAATCATTTGAACCCCATGATGATGAGCTTTTGACTACCCTTATAACATCAAATTTCTACACACGTTGGAGTAACTCGTGGAATACTTTGTTTAGGGCTTTATGTCTTGTCTATTTCATTTCACCCGGACGCTTTTAACTGTATACACAAAATTATTGCTGTATTTATGGACCTAGTGATCTTATTATTATCTGCAAGACGTTCCCTATTAAAGTTCAATTTTCTTATAATCCATACTCTTTCCTTGCCCCAATATAGACAGTAGAATGGAAATGATAAAAATGTAGTAACATAGTACCCAAGCAAGATTTACTCGTCAGAAAGGAGAGTGGAATGGAAATGATCAAAATGATAAATAGTAGTAATGTAGCAGACAAGCGAGATTTACTTGTGTTTTTTTGGAAATGTTTTGGGTTTCCCTCATAGTACTAATAATGCTAACCGGGTACTTCTGCTCATGGTGTTTGATCTTTATATTTGCGATTATGCTTGGTGCTAGTCCTTTCAGTTCTATGCTTTAAATGATTCTTTTAAGGTTGTTTTCTTTGCTTTTTATCTGGCTAGATCTTGTCGAGGTAATATCTGTGATGTTGTCATGCTGATTTTGCTAGTGACAATTCTGCATGAGAAATTCTTCCACTTACTGACGTGAGCAAGCAATGGCAGGCCTGGAAGCTCTCTTGCCCAAATTATGCTTGCCTTTCTTTTGCAGTGTAGAATTGTAGTTTCCAATTGAAATTTGAAAAAATCAGTTCAAATTTGAGTAGCATTGTAAAAATCCCCCCCTGCCAGAATGCCTGGGACTGATTTATATAAGCATCAAGTCATCCAGTTATGTAGGTTGTGATATCTTATATTTATGATATGGCATTGTTTTGGTTTGAGCATTTCAGTTAAGGGGGCAAAATGACCCTTAATTTGTGTAATGAAGGATCAACTCGACCTAGTGTGGACTTGACCCATATGTTGGTGCACATGCATTGATTTCAATTATGGGGATGTAAGTAACGACGAACCATCTGATGACCGAAAGAGAGACAAAAAAATAAAATTGCTTGTTACCAAACACGCGGTGACTCATTGATATGAACCTTATGATGCATTCATTATCTGTAAACGCTCAATTTTTTATATGTATGGTAATGCACGCTAGACAATATTAAAGAAAAGAATAAATTCAAGTTATGTTAGATATGTAATATTACACTTGATTTAAACACGGAAAAAAATTAGATTTTCCCCCCCTTAATACAGTCTCATTCAGTCCGGTCCACAGTTTTGTCAATTGTCTAATCATATTATTGTACATGCTGCAATAATTAATAACATATGGACGATCATTCTTTTGTTCGTTTTCCCTCCAATGTATATCATATTATAATTCCCTTTTACATGACATTAGCCAACATAACAGCCAAAAACACAACATTCGATCTGTTGGGTTTTGATACCCAATAACATTCATTGCTGCTTGGTAGACTACACCGAAAGAGAAAAAAAAAAAAATTTCTTGTTACCAAACACGAGGTGACTCATTGATATGAACCTTATGATGCATTCATTATCTGTAAATGCTCAATTTTTTATATGTATGGTAATGCACGCTAGACAATATTAAAGAAAAGAATAAATTCAAGTTATGTTTGATACGTAATATTAGACTTGATTTAAACACGTAAAAAATTAGATTTTTCCCCCCTTAATACAGTCTCATCCAGTCCGGTCCACAGTTTTGTCAATTGTCTAATCATATTATTGTACATGCTGCAATAATTAATAACCTATGGACGATCATTCTTTTGTTCGTTTTCCCTCCAATGTATATCATATTATAATTCCCTTTTACATGACATTAGCCAACTTAACAGCCAAAAACACAACATTCGATCAATCATGAACTCTAATCCAGAAAACTTATAATCAGTAGGGTGCAGATTTCACACTGGACCCATGAATAATGACACTTAATCAAACCCAAATTCACTGAAATACGTCCTAACAACGACGTGAATAGCCACTACTATCATTATCTTGTGAACAGAAATCGCTCTCAAATTGCATGATGTTAATAACCCCATTGATGAGTACTAGAGCAAAGTGAAATATAATTTTTGAAAAATGCATTAATTGGACTCTGTGTTGTCACAGTCGAGCCTTCAAAATTATCTAACCAGTAGTAGTATTGCAGGTTATGTTTACCAGTATTTGGTGGCTTCTTTAAATGGTAGGTCATGGCATCTCTTTCAGGTTTCATGATAATCTACCTCACCCTGTTAAGAATTGTGGTTCCATCTTAAAAGGTCAACCTTATTAAGAGGAGTAACCAAATCCTTTATAAGTTGGTTTATATTTACATCTTTATTCGATGTGGGATTCTATCCCTTAACATGCCCCGCAAGATGCTGAGTCGTTTGAGTATATCAATTTTGAAATTCATATGCTCACTTTTGGAGTCTTAACAGGATCAAATTGCTCGTTAAAGTTTAATGGGCTCTGATACCATGTTAAGAATTGAGGTTCCATCTTAAAATGTCAACCTTATTAAGAGGAGTAATCAAATTCTTTATAAGTTGATTTATGTTTACATCTTTATTCGATGTGGTTTACAAACTTTCTACTTGGTGGGCTCCTATGTTGACAAAGGAAGTCAACTTGTGACACAATATACAGAGGTATTGGATAGCTTATGAACTCGCGTCTCTGCGCTATTTTATGCTATTGTAGTCCCGTTTTGCCAAAATAATACAGAAATCTCTCTGAAAAAGATGTGCAATTTTGTGGATGAAAATAATTCTCACATGGAAACCTCTTTATTTGGCGCCACTATGTTTTCTATGTCTCCCACCACACAACTACGAACTAAAATTCCTTTTCCCTTCTATATTTCAATTTACCCCACTATTTCTCCTACCCAAAATACTACCTTAAGTTAAGTGGAGGTCATTTCTCCTATGACTGAGATTGTACTCCTAGAACTGTTGAAGTCAATTATTTCTTCAGTACAGATAGGGGTGGGCGCGAGTCGGTTCGGTTCAATTTTTTTCGATTCCAGAAATTTTCGGGTATTTAGTAAATGGAACCGTCAGTTCCAAATATAATTTTGGAACCGTTCGAGTTTGATTCGGTTCGGTTCGGTTCGGTTCGGTACTATAATTAAATTTTTTAACATTTCAAATAATACTACATAAATATACCTGAAAGTATATACTAATATTAATAACAAAAAGTAGATACAAATACCAAGTTTAATCTTAACATTTACGAATTAACGTAATCTAATTTAATAACATATAAATAATAAGTTGTGAAATACAAATACCAAAAAGTAAATATTACTAATAAAACTTCGATAATTCATATCAATAATTCATTTGCTTCAAACATTCAAGTTTACATAAAAATGAAATATAAATTAGAAGTAATAAAGATAAAATATTTTAAAGTATTGATAATACTTACCAACTATTTAATGTAATAATCAGTTGCTTGACTTTCCATACTAACTACTAAGAGACTATACAAGAAAAAATTGAAAAAAACACAACTAACAAACATAAATAAACTCTAAATTGTTCAACTAATAAGATTTAATAAGAAAAAAATTATTAATTTATTTAGAAAAAATAAAAGAAATTGATTTATTCAATATAAAAAAAAATTCGGTTTTTATTCGGTTCTTCGGTTCTGGGTCTAGAACCGAGAACCGAACCAAACCATTCGGTTCTCGATTCGGATACCCGTTCGGGTATTTCATTTAAAAAAACTCGCTCGATTCGGTTCGGTTTGGCTCGGACATTTTGCCCAGCCCTAAATACAGAGAGTGAATATTGGAAAAGAGAGAGAAAGATATGATCATTAGTAAAGAAATGACCACAGCTATAAATGGAAACTTACTATAAGAATTTTAAGTACCTTCAGCTATGATGGACTCTTAAATGGGATCAGGCTACTTGAAATAATTGAAATGTTTGATCTTGATCAGGAGCAAACTGCACAACCCATGGCAACGAACTTGTTTACTAAGAAAAATGATCTTCTTTCCACTGCCGTGAAGAGAACTAGTGAATGGTCTGCTCTCTTTTTCCTAACTAAATAGATTTATTTTTACTTGTGTTGTTAATTAATGAAAGATTAGTTTGGCCACTTCTGCTGGATTCTGTTTAGGGGAAAAAAAGGTCCAAAGATTATGAACTTAAGATTTTTGTTTCAATGTTCAACAGGATCTTTTCGCAGGAAATCCCGAGTGATATAACTGTTAGTGCAGGCGGAACTTCCTTTTCATTGCACAAGGTAAGAGTACATTGTTGTTTCTTATAGCATATTCTAATTGATTAATATTAAGAATTAGAAATAATTGTGCAGTTGAAGTTTTAATATTTGATTCATTTCTCATAATCAAAGCGATTTCAAGACTCAGTTGCACATGTTTTTACATCAACAGTTCCCATTGGTCTCAAAATGTGGTTACATAAGGAAGTTAGTTTCAGAATCCACTGATACTGATCTTGCTGTTATCGAAATCGCTGATATTCCCGGAGGAGCAGAGGCATTTGAACTCGCTGCAAGATTTTGTTACGGTATAAACTTTGAGATTAGTACAGAAAACATCGCCATGCTTAGGTGTGTAGCTGAATATCTTGAGATGACAGAAGACTATGCGGTTGAAAATTTAGTTGGAAGAACCGAGAAATACCTACAGGAAGTGGCATTAAAGAGCCTTGAAGGGGCAGTTACCATTTTGCATTGTTCCAAAAACCTTCTTCCCCTAGCAGAAAAAGTAAAACTGGTGAACCGATGCATAGATATGATAGCATTTGTGGCCTGTAAAGATAGCCAATTTAGAACACCAGGGAGGGCCGAGAGTGGAAAGAATGATTTGATATCCTCCAACTCGTCCATGTCCAATGTGAAGCCTGTTGTTGATTGGTGGGCTGAAGATTTGACTGTCCTTCGAATCGATTTCTTTCAAAGGGTTCTCATTGCAATGATGGCTAGGGGATTCAAGCAATACGCTCTCGGTCCAATACTAATGCTATATGCACAAAAATCTCTTCGTGGGTTGGTGAGTACTTAACCCATAAACATGGATTATTAATCATGTGAGCTAGATTCATATATTATTTTTAAAATTTTTTTTTTTCATTTCAGGAAATTTTTGGGAAGGGTAGGAAGAAAATTGAGGCAAGAGAACACGAGAAACGGGTTGTTTTGGAAACAATAGTTAGTCTTCTGCCAAGAGAGAAGAACGCCATGTCAGTTAGCTTTCTCTCTATGCTTCTTCGAGCTGCAATACATCTAGAAACAACAGTTGCTTGCAGGCTCGACTTGGAAAAGAGGGTGGCCTTGCAACTAGGACAGGCCGTGTTAGACGATTTACTAATTCCTTCTTGTGCTTTCACCAGGGATACATTGTTTGATGTTGAAACTGTGCGGAGGATAATGACGAATTACCTAGAATATGAAATGGATGGGAATAGATCCGGATACAATGCAGACGACGAGTATATTTCTCCTTCACAGAGTGATATGGAGTGTGTCACGAGGTTAATGGAGACTTATCTTGCTGAAATTGCTTCTGACCGCAATTTATCAGTCTCAAAGTTTATCAGTCTTGCCGAACTTATTCCTGAACAGCCCCGAATAACAGAAGACGGAATGTATAGGGCCATTGATATCTACTTGAAGGTTTGTACATTGTCTTACTTTAATTTCTGAATCCCTCACTGATGAGCTCATGGGAAACAGAGCAAATAGGATTTTTGGTCGACATGAAAATTTAAGATACGACTCTATTCTGTTTAATTTTTATACTAATGACGTGATTTTTTTGGACTGCTTTGATACTTCTTGTGTTTTGCTTATTCCGACAGAGTTCGATTACTTGATGTGTAGTGAAAGTTGGAAAAACTTCGCATAAACTATTGAGTCAAAAGTTTCCTATTAAGAATCTTTTCATTTTCCATTTTCATCTTATTTACCCCTTAGAAATCCTCTCTTATTGAACGCAAATACCTTTTTCACCTCTTCATAATTTAGTAGGAAGTAATTGTAAGCTTGGTGTAATTACTTTATAGATGAATTATCAAGCTGCATATCCAATTCATCTGCTTCCTTATAAGTAATCTGCAGGCTCATCCCGCATTAAGTGACATGGAGAGGAAGAAAGTTTGCAGTGTGATGGATTGTCAAAAGCTTTCTCGGGAAGCTTGGGCACACGCAGCCCAAAATGACCGACTACCTGTCCAGATGGTAGTTCAAGTGCTGTACTACGAGCAACAATGCCTCAGGGAAGTCATGGACAGCAGCCTCAATGATTCTCCTTCTCTTCCAACTAAAGCGAATCAATTCTCCAATGACATCCACCCTGTATCAGAAGAGCTCTCAACTCTACGTAAGGAAAATCGGGACCTGAAACTCGAGTTGGTGAAAATGAAAATGAGACTGAAAGAAATCGCAAAATCTGATGATCCTAAAGCATCAATTGGTAGTCCCTCAGGCACTCGTCTATCCTTTGATAATCCTAGAAAATCATTCATAAGCTCCGTGTCAAAAACACTTGGCAGATTTATTCGGGCTGATGGAATCGTACCTCAAAGTGCCAAACGTCGAAATAAACCAAGCAAAGATAGGCGACATTCCATATCATGATACATTTGTTTCATACTCGATCCTTTTAGTATCAAATGAAGATACCTTCATTGCATTGTTTTAATCTTGAGAGAAGGTCCTGGATTCTGTATTTTCTTTTCTTTTCTTTCCTCTGTGTGATATATGTGTAAATCGTATTGCAAGTGCATTTTATTCATATCTGTAAAATATAACGAATAATATGCTTATAATTGTTTCTGTCTTGTTATTGATTTGATGAGTTGGGCTATACACAATACCAGAAGCACTACTGGATCCTCCTTTTTTTTCCTTCTTCTGTTAGTGTATTGATATATGCTGGATTAAAATAGGAGTCATTGTGCTTATGTTATCGGTTTCCGACAAAATATTTAAATTAGCTCAAGAAAGAGAATCTTAATGATGCTTGATCTTTTAACGAATAGTATTGAGAATGTGAGAGTTGTGTTTCTCCAAACACATTTAAAAGGAGTGTTATTTGTGTCCATTGTCTTTGCTGCTTATTTGGATAATGCTTCCCAGTTGGCATCCATTTATTGGTAGCTTGGTATTCACAAGGATTGTGCTAGTTGAAGTTTGATATGAGCTGTCAGATACAGTCAAGGGCTGAGATTTATTCTTGGAATTATAGCGTCTCCTGATTTTGGTCATACGACCCTTCAAACTTTTCTAGACAAAAAGTTTTTCTCTCTCTTTTGCTTCTTCGTTTTTAAGGGTGTGAATCTTCTTCTTGTTTTTGAGTTCTTTGTAATTGATCATGTGGAGGGTAATCTGGTTTTGTATAATGAGGTCTGAAAGAGTGGTTGATTCGTGTAGGTTATCTCCTTTTAGTGATTAGTTGGATATGTGTGTCCACTCTTTGGTTTTAGAAATCGATTCGATCTGTGATTAAAACTCGATCAGAGTGGTTTGATGTAATCTCTCTCTTGGAAGGTAGAATATTACACTAGTGGAACGGGATGTCCCTGAGCCCCCCAGATTAGGCTGATTGGCTGAACTGAGTCAACATTTCTTGGTATTTCTGTGTTCGTTTTTACGATTTTTGCTTGTGGTGGTTTTATATTTTTACTTTGACAAATGATCTATACTGAAAAATCCCAATAGAGAACTTGGCCAAATAATAAAAAGAAGAAAATAAGAGCAATATGAAAAATAATGGATCACACAAGTACACCAAATTTATATGGAAGATGAGCGGGTTTTCAATATGCCAATAAACTAAAATTGTTTTATAAAATTTGATACTTTTAATCTAAATCTAAACAATCATCTCAAGTTTTTAATGTATATAACAATGATCTTGTTGTTAATTGAGTATGAGAAGAGCTTACACCTCATGGAGTATTTATAGGAGTCCAATCTTGAAGTTATGGATGAAGTGGAGCACAAAAACCACTTCAGAAACCATCTAGGAATAAAATTCTTTTTGTATTGGTGGCATCGAGGCGCCACCTTCATGCCGGCCAAATGGCCTTGGGCACCGTGCCCATGACTTGGCACCCATGCCACTGCCTCCTTTTACGTTGTCGGCGCCTAGATACCCCGTCTTAAATTCAATGCGTCCAAAACACTTCGTTATCCATTCCAAAATCCTTTTCCCAATCAAACTCTCAATTCATGACAAAATTTGATTCCTTATCCATCTGGACTTCCAAACCAAAATTATATAGACTTCCTCTATGAATCAAACTTTCCAATTACATAGAATTTGAGTCACAACATAACAAGTAGGATGTTGTTTAAGGATATAAACTAACATGCGTACTCTGAAAGCTTCCTCTTCCTCACCGATGTACTTGATGCCTAACAATGTTTTGTGGGTGAATTAGAGGATTAATTAAGGATCTACTCCCCCAACCCCACCTAAAGAAAAAGAGGAAAAACTAGACAAAAGATCCTTTCAAAGAAAAAAGATAAACAAAGATCGATATCTTAGCCTCTAATTGGCAGACCTACCGCACAGTATGAACTGAGTCAAAAGGACAGCCCACCCCGTCCAATTTACTCTTCTAGGTGGATCCATACTCTAAACTTAATAGGTTCATTTTCTCGGTTTAAATCATAAGGAAAAGCCAGAAAACACAAGAGACAATATGGCAGTGCTCTCATTTTCACGTCTAAACGAAACAATCAGATAATATTTAACTTAAGAGATCAGAGTTCAGTCATTACATATAATTGTGGGGCAGCCTTGTATGTTGGAATTGGAATCTAATGTTCATTTGGTGGTAGACACCTCAAGACACTTCCAAGTTATTGCTTAAAGGAAAATTTTTCTCTGTGGTAGGTATCAAATGAAAATCATGAACAAAGGAAATTAGGAAGGGTCTATTTCAATTGTGGCATGGATAGTATTTTAATCAAGTTGAATAAAGGTTTTAGTAGATCAGATTCCTTCAATCTTGTTTGCACATTATAAGCAACCATGTCTGTATCATGATGGAGGTTAACTAGTGAGTAAACAAAACAAAGAAGTGGATAATAGTACACTGAGGTAGAAAACTTCCAAAAGTCTCCACATGTACAACGGCCCTCAATAATGGAGTTGAGATTGATTTAGGCATAAGGATTTCCTTGTCAAGGTACAAGTTTTCATTTGGCTAGTTGTTGGGCTTAAGTGAGATTCTATGGCATGTTTGGTATGTTGAATTGAACATGATTAAGAAAGTGAGACACGTTATATAATTGTAGTGTCTAATCTAGTTTAGTTCTGCGTATCAATACAAAAAGTTCCAACATCCTGTCGTCATCCGGTGGCTACAGAAAATCTAGTTTCCTCCAATGGATCACTATAACCTATAGTGTGACATCTCCTCCTCACAACTTCTACTGTGATATCTTTACTCTTTGATGAGTTCACAAGGTGCACGAGAACTCATCATACAATTGTGCAAATGAATTAGAAGATAGAACTCTTGGAATAGAGGACATAACAGGGCGAGTTGAACGAGTGGATATTATATATTACAAACACAAATCTTGCTGTAAAGTTGATATACAAACTCAACAGCTTTTGAGAGATGCCCGAAATCTTGGGAAAAATTAGATTTTTCAGAAAGGTGATTATCACAAGAATAGACAAAATTCTAAAGGAAATAATTAATAAATAAATATTTCTTGTTTTATTCCAATCTTATGTTAATAAAATACTTGGGTTTAATCTAATGACAGGACATCAGCATTGACAATCCATGTGGGACAGTTTTGGACTCTTCGGATTCCCAAAGATATTTTTGTGAACAATAATGATGATTGAAACTGTTCAAAGACGGGGAAATGATGGACGACTAACTTGACAACACCGATTTAAGTGTTTATTTTTTTTATTTTTCAAATTGTCCATTTATGTGTGGACACGTGTTCCCCTGTTTTTAAACTTGTTTGTGTAGAATGATTGTTTTGTGTAGGGGTGTCCAAAAGTTCCGAACCGAACCGGACCGAACCTAATCCGAACCGAACCGAGCGGTTCTTCATAAATTAAATACCCGAACGGGTACCCGAATCGAGAACCGATGGGTTTGGGTCGGGTCTCGGGTCTAGACCAAGAACCGAAGAACCGAACAAGAACCGAAACTAAATAATTTTTTTATTTTTTATATTGAATTAATTAAATTATTTTATTTTTTTCCTATACAAATTAGCAAATTAATTGAATAAATTAGATTATTTCATAATTTTAATTTTTAAGCCCAAATCATTTTAAA